AACAAGGAACATGCCAACAAGGAACATGCCAAAAAGGAATACGCTAACAAGGAACATGCCAAAAAGGAATACGCTAACAAGGAACATGCTAACAAGGAACAAGCTAACAAGGAACACGCTTACAAATCGCCTGCGGCAGACAGATCAGTCAACATGAGTGCTCAGATCTAGAGGTGAACTGACTGCAGTTTTCTGGCCGATCACAGATTTCTAAAGTCTGACCTGCCGATTCCGATTTTGTTTCATAAGTGACACTGTCAGGTGCTAATGACTTTTGAGACTTTCATCACACTCCAGATTAAGAAACAAAATGTTGCATTCAGAGTGATGCAGACCTTTTCATATTTACCGGGTTTTTGGAAACAACCTATTTCAGGCTTTTCATTCAACCTTTATTTATACAGGTTAATCCCATTGAGCCTCAGGGACTCATTTCAAGAGAGACTTGAATAAGTCTTGAACAGGAAAAGGCTTGGTGCTCATAATCCCTACATTACAACAAATATTCTTATATTGAGGTTACTAGAGTCCAAAAAATTATTTTTGCGGACTGTTCAGTGGGGAAAATAATTACCAAAAGTAAGTAGGTTATTCTACTTCTGGGAAAACTAAAGGAAACGCGTCGAGAGTGGCAGTGCCCAACCTCTACCAGTGATCACTGTCAACTGTGGTGGGACATCTACAACACGGTCCATCCTCTGAAGTATGAGCTAAACATCCATGTAGAGAATAAAGGCAACAACTGCTGCTGGTGGGATTAAACAGGTTAATACTATTTATCATCTTATGTAACAGTTTTTCACGTGATAGTTGGGTGCAGATGTTTCATCATTTTACCTGCCTAAACGCAGCAAGATGTTTGTGAATCTGGAACTTGAAGAAAGTCTCAAGTCTCGCACAAAAGTAAGCTGATCAATCGTGCACATGCATTTGACCATTTGTTGGAGCAGAATATTTTACTTGAAAATTGGAAACGTCTATACTTGAACTGTTTGTGCATTTGTAAACCTTGTACGCCTGACTTTCGAGACTAATTTACCTCTATATTCCAAGACTATAAACTATATCTACTGCCTAAGAAACAGTAATATGAACGAAAGACAGAGAAAAAAATCAATCGGTAGAATTTCTATTGAGTTTACTATTAAAAAACACACTTGGCCTTTAGTGACCTATAAAAACTGGTGACTGCTGAATAAAACAATGTCAAATAATTAGGAAACTTGTTTTAAAGACTTACTGTAGAGAGTCAGCAAAAGATGATTGACTGTTGTAGTGGTCCTGTTTGGGGAACTCACATGCAAGACATCTGTAAAAGTTAAAACTGATAAGAAAATGCTTTTACTTTGAAACATCTCTACATTTTGCTAGCAGATTATGTTTGTAGAGAAACTCAATGGATACAGAAGCCCCTATGATCTCCTGGTGAGTAGAAACGTACTACGTAACTAGTTTGTTTTCAGACCAAATACAAGTTTAATGTTGAAGTGCTTGTCGATACGGAGTCCTGTACAGATACCGGTAAGTTAATGAGTTAAATGCTTAAACCTTAAAGACTTTGGAAACATTTATTTTATTAGGAACATAGCAAACTTTCTGCTGTCTTAACATCACCTGTGTTCATCAAATATCTCTAAGCTACTGAATGTTTTTTATGCTTTGTCTTCAATTACTTGCAAAGTGGAAGAGGAAATGACATCTTAAAATTGGTACCGGTCCAAAATATTGGGTTGTTTTTATGAGTACAAGTACCAGTACTTGAGGCTGGTATCAGACACATCACTGATACCTGATATTGCTCAGGTGTGAGCTGAGACACCACCTAAACTCAGATGCTGAAAATCAAAGCACCACGTCTACAGTCAACTAGGCCAATGGCTCCCAAACTTTTCATCTTTCAACTTATAAAATAAAAGTTGCTGGAGCTTGTGACCCTGACTAGTACTGGTTGAAGAATATAAACATTTAAGGTGATATCTAACTGGGCTGTGACAGTTGGAGACTAGCTGGAGACTCAAACTTGTGTGAAAATAGGCACGGTTAAAGTCTTAATGAATTCTGAGTGTTTGCAGCCAGTGAACCAACTGTGCAGCCACGTTTTGAATGGCCACTTATTCAAGACTTTGGCCTATTTTTATGTGCACAGCTTATATTTGTTATTATTTTATGTGTGTAAATTAATTGCCCACTTGTGCCTACATCTACATACCTGAGCTTGTTTTCTGTCCACCTTGGCAGACACCCACTAATTTATAATTTCATCAGCAGAGTACAGTTTAGAAAATGAAGATGGGTAGATTTGGAGCGGGTTTTATTATTATTATTTTTTTATTATTATCATATATCATCAGGGACAGCTATGGCTGAGTGGTTAGAGCAGTCGTCCTCCAATGCAAGAGTTGGAGATTCAATTCCACCATCAGTCACATGCTGAAGTGTCTCTGGGCAAGACACTGAAACCCTCATTGCCTCCGATGTGTGTCCCATCAGTGTATGAATGTGATAAAGCTCTGATTAATCTTTAGAGCTCTAGTAGAGTGCTGTATGAATGGGTAAATGAGAAAGGCGCTATATAAGTGCAGTCCATCATCAGCGTGGTTTTGGACATTTGCCTCCAATATTTTCTGTCAGAGAAAAGTTTGCATGTCAAAAAACAAACTAGGTGGGTTTTTGAGATGCAGGTGTCAATTCTGACTATTCTGATTAAAAAAACCTTTGCAACACAATTTGTTTGAACATGTTCAAAATTTAAGTGACAGAACTTCTCACCTCTGCGACTCATGTAATAAAGAACCACAGTGAACGTTGGAGACTCGCTCATAAATGTAGTTTAGCAGCAGTCACAGCCCAATGAGTTATCACCTTATGCATTTAACAAACAGCCAAGTCAACCTTTACATTGTTTATCCATGCATTGATAACAAATGTCATTATCTCTTTAAAATAGTTTGAGTTAAATATGCCAACGGCAATCAAATTTAAAGTTAATTTAATTTCGGTAGATCTTGTCAGGAACCCCACCCCGGTGTTTGATGACTCAATGGGGTCCTGATCCCAACTTTGATCATCTGTCTTACATCAAAATCATCAGAAACACTAAATCCATAAAC